GAGATCTGCGGGAGAGGCCCTTCTCCGGGAACCCTCCGTGAAAGAAATTCGGAGGGTAGGTACTCAGAGGAGGGCTTTCTCTGCGGTGGCGCCCAATCTATGGAATGCGCTCCCCAGAGAGGTCCGCCTGGCGCCGCCGTCATTTGTTTATCGGCGCCAGGCGAAGACCTTTTTATTTAAGCAACATTTTAAATGTAAATATTATTTGCTTATTTTATCTGGCCAGGGCAACTTATTTTATATTGTTAATTTGTTGTATATTTGTATGTTTTATATTTTAATTTTATGTTGTGAGCCGCCCTGAGGCTTCGGCGAATGGGGCGGCATAGAAATGTTTTAAATAAATAAATAGATAAATGATAGTGGGTGCAGGTGGGGTTTGGGCTGGGACTGTGTGCTGGGAGGTTGGGGATGGGTGCCTTTTGCTATTATTCAGACTGAAATCCCCCTTCACCAGCTGCTTGTGCTACTTGTACACACTTGCATCTTCTGCCCCTTGAAATAGAAAGCGATGGGGGCGTTATCCCCCTTCCACGGAGGGGTGCGCTTGGTCTGATCCCACCTCACCATCCATCAGGGATTCTGGGGGGGGACCTTCTGCAGCGCACTTTGTCAGGGTTGCCCCTACATGTCACGTTGACGAGGGACGATGCTGTGAATGCACTGCAGTCCGGCACATGACACTGGACCCCAGTAAGAAGACTGACCAGCCAAGGATTCTGTGCATAGCTTTTGATGCTATTTCATGTTGCAAATAATCTATCGCCAACTTAGTTCTTGCTACACCCAAAATTCTGCCACCAAAACCAAGGTATCAGCTTAGTAGAGAACCTGTGAAGAGTAGAGAGGAGCGTTTGGTACAGAGGATCCAATTTTGAGTTGGCGTTATTTTTCAACCTTGTGCTTACTGAAAATTTGGAGAAGCAAACAGCTCAAACACAAAAAAGCTGCTGTGGCTGTCCTTAAGAACACCCCCAAGTTACTTTTCTTTGTCTCAGAGGGGCCACGGGCCATCCGTTTGTAAGAAGAAGACATCATTAATGTCCCTTTTGCAGAATTTCCTCCTACCCCTCAAGAATACCTTCTTCTCCCCCACCCTCACCAGTTGTCCTTGTACTGAATCCCTTCCATGATCTCTCACCTCTTAAAGACAGTTGTGGTTCTGCAACTACAGAAGACTTCTTACCATCAGAAAAAGAAAGGCCACTTCCAATATTATTGCATTTTCTGGTCATGGAATGGGAAGTTGGACGTGGCCCATCTTTGCAACTATCAAGACTAGGAATGAGACGACTGGGCCACAGTCTGGCTCTCTTGCACTCACTGGACTTCCTTCCCACGCTTGGCCCCAGCCACGAAACAAGCCAAGCAGACATCATGTCTGCAAATGCTCAAGAAATACGCTGGAGGACACTAGTGGCTTCTTTTATGAAGTACACAAACTACTTAATTCTTTGCACAAAATATGAAAAGTATGTAATTCTTTGCAGAAAGCACACACATTTATGCAATTCTTTGCCCAAAGTATGCAAACTACAGGAGCCTGCAAGTCATGTGTACGGAAGCAGAACCCTGCCAGATGCCCACACGGGCGCTCGGTGCAAGGCAGACTTGGGGCAGAGAGAATGTAGACTAGAGTTTGGAGAGCTGAGCTGAAGAAGTCTGATGGATTCCCACCACCCAATCAAGCATGTTTATGTTACCTGTGAATATATATATATTAGACTCAGATTCAACAAGCAGAGCCTTAGAACCAGAACTGATCTAAACGTAAATTGGCAAACAGTAAATTGTTGGTCAATGTCAGTCACTCAAGTACATAACTCTGGAAGGTTTTATACATTCATTTATGCAGGGCTAGGTCAGTTACAACTGTAGGCCAATACTTTGGAACAAAAGCAAAACATCTGATACTAAATAGCAATTTAGAATAGTAATTATATTATGAAATTAGCTGGTTCACTTCTTTAATATGCCTGTTTCTGGTTTTTTACAGAATGTTACTATGGAATATGGTAAAAATCCATTCTAGGCATGCATATTGTCTCAGCACAGATATCTCTCAACAATTGCATGTCCATTGCTCATCTCCATTATAATTCTGTCCAGGCTCTCTGCATGGAACATAAGGACAACAGGGACACATATCCCAGAAAGAGGCATCAAGCCAGCTTGTATACATTTTTCCCAGTGGAAAGGCAGTCTCCTGTCAGGATCTGCAAAGTGATAAGCTCCCCCTGCTGGCCCGATAGAGGAAGTGACCTAGTTTGCCTTTCTAGTACTTGAAGGATTAGCACCAGGCTTGAAGGTGATTGCAGGATTAGGGCCTGTGCAACCATACAGGCCACCTGGGAGCCACCTGAGGCACTATAAAAGGCTTCCAAGTGCTGATCAATTTTCTCATAGCTACTTGAATATTTGTAGTATCTATTTAATGTTTCTAATTTGGTGGCTGCCTCCAGTCCTGCAATGTTTCCCCTTCCATTTTCACTCATGCCTGTTGCTGACTCTGCATTGGCCCCTGGTGTTGCCACACCTTTGCCAAGTCCTGATCCTCCTTGCCTCTTGGCTCTTCTCTTGCCTCTGGTCCTGCCATACCTTGTTGGTACCTTGTCCCTTCCCTGTTCTTGACTTAACGTTCAGCTCAGGCTCTGTTATGCCTTGTCCAGTGTCTGACCCTTGCCCAAGTAAGCCATGGTCCTTCTTCTGCCTGCATCACCCCAACCCTGGCCCTGGCATGGCATCAAGGACACCTGCTGCTTATATCCCAGAGAAGAAAGGCATCAATCAATTCAAATAGATAAGTGGAAGCTACAGATATCCAGCCTCCATGAATTGAGGTCACACTGGCAGACACAGCGAAAATACCAGCTCGAGTACAGTAATAGTATTTTGTTGAAGTTTCATGAGCTTTGTTGACAGCAATATGTTGGAGAGTTGCTGCAGTTAAGTAAGCAGGCAATGCTTCTGTGATTCATGGATAAATAGGCAGATTTCTCTATCAAATTCCAATATTGATGTGATTGCTTTTTCTTAGCAGAGTTTGTCTTCAGAATAACCTGTTTCCTTCATTTCACTGATTCTCAAAAAAATGTACATTCACAAACCAGTTTTCCCCATGCGGCAAACACCTACCAGAAGCAGGTTATTAGAGCGCAGACAGTGTGGGGAGTTCAGACTGTGGAGCAGTGCAGAGAAAGAGGGCATCAGTATGTGGGAATGCATCTCTTGTGCTAACCCCTTGCTCAAGTCAGCCCTGCAGCAGTAAGCTATTTCTCGGCTCCAAAACTAAGCCAAGCAAGGTACTGATAGCTTAGTAAATGTTTGGCTTGTCAGATAAAAACCCAAGCCTGTTTTACAAGGAGTTTTAGGATCTCCGGCTCAGAGCATGGAGGTAGCCACATCCACAGCAGGTGGGTCTTTCCCTCTCTGGGGAGTATTACAAGAATACTCAATCAGGATAGTGTTATCATCCACACAGAGCTCCTTCTCCGTGCGTTTTTGTGTGTGTGTGCCTGCAGCTCAAAAGGCCTGCTGAGCAGTTACTTTGTGAATTCTCTTTCAGGTTCCGAAATACGCTACATTTGTGCTCCATTACCAGACCAAGGAAGCTCATCTGGAATCAATCTGGTGGCATAAAATACAGTCTGTGATGATCCTTCCGACTTATACAAATATTCTAATGTGTACAAATGAGTTTTTCTCCATAAAAGGACAGATAAATGGGGATTTGAAAGGCAGATGGACCATTACACATGTTTAAATTGAAAGAAAAGTCCTACCACGAGAGACTGCCTAAATATGCATAGGGCTGCACTCTGAAAAATCCACTCCTCAAATGGATGCTCCCCTGGTGGATCTCCCCTGCCCAAGGGGGAGAATGAGATTCAACCGTAGTGGGGATGTAGATGTATCACACTGACCACCTCTCCCAGCTCCAAATGTGAGTATTCAATGAAGCTGACAAACACGTGTGGCCGCTGCCTTTGAATTCATTTCTTGCACTAGTTTGAATGTTCTTCCAATCCGGTACACGCCGTTGCAATGTCATGAGACATGCAGCAGACCAACTTTCGAGCGCTCACTCAAACGTTTGGGCAAGTTCATCCTCCCAAATTTTCCCTTGTGGACATATGTGCCAGCACGCCATGGCATGTTAAACACTTGGTCCAAATGGGCCCATGTTTGTGGTTGTTGGAAAATAGGCAGCCGTTTATCAGAACCGTTGTCACCTTGCACATATGCAGTCAGGGTGTCATGACTCTTTGCATCAACATCTATTAACTCTCTCCCCACACAACTCCCAAGCAGACATTCTTCAGCCAGCTGCAGTTTCTCCATAGGGTCGGCCAAGATGGACATATATTAGACATTCATCCTAGGGATCGGTCCTAGTCACCCCACAAGTTTCCAACACCCCAAAGCAATCCCCAATCTCTGAGAGTTACATGACTTCAGAATCTTTTCAGATGATACTTAAGTGAAATAAAATCTTAAGTTATTTGTATTTAACAGAGCATTTCATGTCATCGAAAGCAGCCTGGCACAGAAAGGTAATGAGGGCTGTCAACTGTTTCACAGTAATTACAACCCTTGTGATATAATGCTACAAAATTATAATACCGCTTAGGAGAATGAGAACGGAAGAATTTCACTTTCCCTTCCCACTCCCACCGGCCCCCACTCCCGTTCAAGGAACAGAGGACAACGCCGTGCATAAGGTGCCGCGTTCAGCACATGCAAACACGCGTCGGACAGACATTTCCGCATTGCATTTCCCGAATTCCCTCCATTTATTTTAGTCCACCATGTCTCATGCACTACTGCAATCATATACTTCATTTGCATACAGTACAGCTGCTTTTCTAATTGCTTTTTGCAGGGCTTGCAAACAGTAAAAAGAACACAACAGTTCAGAGTCTGGATTCTAGTCACCCCACCGCCCCCCGGCAACCTCTTAAGCCTCGGAGAGATAAAGCAAGAATCGCGAATGTACTCACGGTCGTTGCACAGCGTTCCGCTAAAAGAGGTCATGCTACAGTCACAGCTGAAGCCGTCCCATTGCTGCAAGCAGACTCCTTGATTCGCACATGAGTCCTCTTGGCACGTTGTGCTGGGCCCTACCAAGAAAGCGCACAGCAAAGTGAGCTCGGCCTCTTGCCTTCGAGGCGACCACATTTGTCATTGGATCACATGGGGTAGTTGCCAACATCTCAGATTTATACAGCAAACCAAGGAAAAGAACTGATAGTCGTATTGGCCGTAACTTAAACAAAAGAAAGCAAAACGAACTTTATGGAGAGACATATGGCTTTTTTGGTTCAGAAGGCAGAGGAACACGAAGAGATGAGCTGATTCCGAAATGCAACAGAACAGAGAGCCAACACAGGCAAAACGGGGTGGTAGTTGTGGTAACCATTGCTAATTTCATGTCCACATGTACAATGGTCTCTCTTTCACAGGATGAGCGCTACCAGGTACTGTGCAAAACAGACTGCCACACTTAAAATAATAATCAGAAAATTAAAAGTGAGCTGGAAAAAGAAAGTACTGTTGTCTGAGCAATGAACGGATGGAGAGCTATGTCTGTGGAAAGGCAGGGGATGCTTGGGTGGGTTATTCCTTTTGGAAAATAGACATATATTGTGTAGTAGTTTACTGGCAGGAATGTTGGCAAGTATCTTCATACATGCTTGAAATTATCCCATGCAGGTTGTTTTTTTAAAAATATAGATATAGAAAAAATATAGATGGGGAGAAATCATGCTCAAAAGTGACAAACCACATGAGAAACAAAGCTATTCTATTTCTAGAGATCATAAAATAGACCACTGAAAAAATGAAAGAAAAGAACTTAAAAAGGGGCATGATCAAAGCACTAAAGCAATCACTATACAAACAGACACAAGACTGAAAGCCTTTATGCAGAATACCCTGTAAGAGGAGCATTCCCTGCATCATATTTTTAAAGGGAAAGAGCAGAAAAGTCTGAGATGCAACCCATCAGCACAGAAATGGCTGACAGTTCTTAAAATGCCTTACAGGTTTCAGTCTTGTTTAATATACATATGGACTATCTACCTTGCAAATCAGCTTTCATCAATGCAACTTTGTCAGCAAAATAAAAAAGCAAAATATATTAAATGTTAGTAAGCAAATATTGAAATGGCAGCACACACAGAAAGACTGTTCAGAGAAAGAGGTGCATGCCACTCTTGAGGAGGAAAAGAAATCCCATGTAATGCAAATAAATTAATGCTAACAGACATAAATCTCCAGGCAAGCCAAAGTGAGAATGCAGTAATTTGCCAGCATTTTCTACAAATATAATGGTTAATTGAGCTGATGACATGTAATGAAGGAAAATTAAAAGCATTTCTTTTCGTAGGATAAATGGGAAAGCTTTAACAAGTGAATGCATGGTTTAATACTGAATAGCCATTTGTCATGTTCAGATCTTCAGTTCCATCATTAGTACATTATCCTCTCCCATCTTTCTCTTCTCTGGGCCTTCTGCTGGAACTGATGGAATGTGGTCCGGAATGGATGACAAGGACCATGTAGTGTCCTTGAGTTACAGATGCAGTGGTGGTCTCTCCTCTCTCCCATGATACACTGGGCCATGGTCAAAAGAAGGGCCACTGTCTGCATTTTGTCCGTGCCACTGTTACTCCATGTTCCTACATGCAGGTTCCCTGACTTCCCTCACTGAAATTGAGGCAGGTAGTAAAATATAGACACAAGTGTTCTCTTTTAGGCTGATCATGTTGAAGGAAGCTGGTTAGTGTGCCAGAAAGTGTGCCCAGGAAGTGACAAGCAGCTTCAGAGTCAAGTGTAACCCCGTTGCCCTGAAGCCATCTGAGCACTGGGAGTTGCAATGCCACCTTTGGGCACAGGAGGATCGCTGAAGCTCAGCAGAGAAGAGGCCACTCTCTCCTTCTACTGGCAAACTAACCCCGTCGTGTCCTCAGGCTCAGAAGCCCACCTGCGCCAATGAGACATGGATGACCTTACTGCAGAGAACCACTGGGATACCCCCAGGCCCGAGAATGCAGTCTCTCCTCAACCTCAGACTCTGGGGATGAGACATCTTCCACTTCTCTGTCCCTCAGACACACGGGAGCATGGAATGACAACAGCAGGGCCCCCCTACCTATGAGGAAATGCTTTAGCAGTATCCCCTGGGAGATGCTGTCCAAGGTCCTGACAGCTATTTACCTTGTGCTGCTCCTGTTCTCCTAATTGGTTGTGGACTGGACTCTACGCTACTTGGCACTAAATCATCTGTGACTGGCATGTTCCAAGGTGCCTTCCTTTGGACAGCAAACCAAGGAAGCACGACCCCTTCTGTGTCCCACTGAGAAGTCTTTGGCTTGCAACGGGCTCAGCTTGTCAACATTACAGCTCATCTATTGGATGGCAGGACATTCATATGTGCTTTTATCTGCACTAGGATCCATCCCCGAGTACGGCTGGGATTCTGCTGACTGGTTTTGCACATGTGCACTTGCACTAAATTGTCTTGTTGTCTTTTTAGCCACATTAGCTCAAATTGTGTGCAAGGTCACACCCTGAGCATTGGCTGTATTTTGACCAGCAGCATAATTAGCTGCCATACAAAACAAGAGCTCAACATGAGGGCAAAAAGGCTGCTATCCGGACTTTACTTTTTGGGCCATATGGCTTGGGGAACAATTTTGCTTTATTGCATCCAAAAGTCCCATCAAGTCACACCCAGCCTATTAAAGCATTATTCTCACCTGTCAGTAGGGGTGTATGAAAATGTTGGTTTGGCTTACAAGTGGAAGCACATGTCTGACAAAAATATTTGCTAACCGTCAAGGACATACTTGTGTATGTCTTGTTCCCAGTTCGATTTCTGCAAATGTCCCAATTCATGCAAATTTTCTCAGTAGACTGTATACCTGTCTTAGTTTATGGAGGACATCTGGGGAGATTTGCCCAAATCTCTCAGCTGCTTGCTGCTTGAGTAAGGAGTAAATGCTAGAAAGAATGACTGCAGAAGAGGTGAGATGAAGCTTGGCGAATCCTAGTGATCTTGAGCATCGGTCACGTGCCCATCCATATCTGCCAGGCACTTGACAACCTGCATGCCTTTGTAGTTGCAAACAAACACCCAAGACAAGAGGTTTATCTAGCTGTAAGAGTCACCAAATGTGGCCAGTGAGCTGAGTTTCAGCTTGGTACATGTGAAATTGTGCAGGCCTGGGACATATGGACAAGCCAAACCAAAGCGCTAGAGATGTGGAACCATAAAAAGCCCCCAACCTAGCCCGAGACCCTACAAAATGCTTTGAAGCCTGTTCTGCATACAACCTGTGCTAACAATGTACACCTAAATTAAATTAGTTAATTTATGCACTAACTGCCATCTAAGCAACGTGATGATATAAAGTGCTGCACAGGAGCTAATTATCACAACAATTAATTAAAATACAGCGCAAACAAAATGGAGACGTGCAAATCAGCTTGTTGGTGGTGAAGAGCAGACTCCACCGATTACGTTCAGGGAGATAAGCTAATGTGCTCAGGTTCAATTTGTGTGTGCTTGCTTCTCCCTCCATGACATCCACCTTCATTAATAATGTAGAGCAGGTCCAGTTTGCCGCTGTAGCACGACACAAATTGATGACAGCGGGTGATATTGGAAACTGTCATCATCTGAGTCCAGATAAACAGGACACAGTGGGAGAGACACTACGGCAACCCAAGGATGAGGTGTGGGGATATTTAGTTTTCATCAGATGAGGTTGTGACAGGATTACAGAGTCCTTGTTCCATACCTTCACATCCTCGTTCTATCTGTCCATTGCAAAACAGAGCATCTGAGATCAAATCTGGAAGCCGCCCGTTCAGATCCACTGAGGCAAGGCATCCCTGAAATCCTTCCTTTGCATGGACCAATTTAGGTAAGGATTTGTAGGTTTCCTTTGCTACCCCTCCAATGTACAAGTCACCTGTGTAACCAAAACATAAGGTCAGTCCCAGTTGCTTAACAGTCCATTTTTCTTTTTTTAAAGGAAAAACAAAACATTTTAAGCTACATTTCCAGGACACCGTACAGTCAAAGAATTCAACTAGATATATAGAAACAATATCAAACCATTAAGAAAATACAATAAACAGAACAGAATCAGCCACAGAAATAATAAAAGAGCAAGATGTCAATTGATTAAAATCTCATGAAAATAAGGCAGCTTTCCTCTGGCATTTGAGGTCAGAAGAATAAATATTTGTTCTCCACAAAGCCCTGGAGTGAAGTGGCAAATAGGCTGCCTATAGAAAACTAAACGTGAGCCCGGTTGCCAAGAAAACAAACTTTGTAGCTGTCACCACTTCTATTGGCAGTGGCAAAATAAACACAGGCATGAAGATTAAAAAACTAGAAAGAAACCCTAGGGACTCATGTCTCTCAACCTTTCAGTGAAATTTTCCCTCTCCAAAAGTTCTGGACAGCATGAATTAGCTCTCAGTTCCTATCCACTTTGGTTTTGATTCCACAGTTAACAAAATAATTCTAAATCATCATACAATTCTAACTTGGGTATTAATTCAGGTCCGGTTAATTTTTTCTCCTGGTATTTGGTTACTGGAGATCAATTCCATTGATTCAGATTGGAATCCTCGTTGATGGCCATGACACATCAGTGCTTGGGTACACACACAGCTCAGCACACCATTGGTACTGATTTGGCAAGCACGACCTGACTGGAATCTGTTGCCTGTTGTTTTCTATAAAGAAGATGTCCTACCTTGGTATGTAGTCCCACACAGCATTGAACTTGGTTCTTTTGAGCTGAGGGGAACCCAACCGGTTCCAACCACTTATCTGGCTCCTCTCATAAACCCTCCTGAAACTGTTGGTAGAAAAGTATGAAGAATGCATGTTTTTGGTCCCAGCTGGGCCGGCTTCCAATCTCCACACATTGATCTGAAACTGTGCACCAATTTTGGATCAATATGTGAGAATGGCACCAGTGGTGTGACCCATAGCTCTGGACGTGGACAATACCTGCAATACATCTAGATAGGACCACTGGGTTCTACCAGTTGTTGTTACTCTGTGGCAGGATGGTCTTGGATCTGGCAGACTTGGCTTCTGTCTTCTGAACAGGGAGATAACTGATTTTTTATTATTTCCCTCCCTACATGGAGTTCTCAGGGTTTCTTAAGGTTGGGAGGGCCTCTGAAACAGCAGGAGAGATGGATGGAAAGCTGGAGGGAAAAGGGGGAGAAGTTAAAAATAATCTCCTTCCCCATTTTGCTGATGGGAAGTCCTGGTGGATCAAAGAACATCAGTGAACTGTTACCAATGAGATGGAATGCTTGCTGGATTTCTTCAGGATCTCAAGGACAGTGGGAACCACTGAAGTCTATCCTATACTAAAATCATTCTCAGATAATAATTTCCATATATCTGTAGAATCCAACATGGCTCAGTTTCAGGCTAATGAATTAGATGGAAGAGAATATATGCTTACTCAAAAAAACCATAATGAAAACTATCTATTTTCTTAATGAACTGGTTCCTGAATTGATGGTTGTCCCTAAAATATAATTTCCTTTTAGTTTCTAATAACTGTACAAAAATATAATGTTTTAGCATGCATCTGCGTGAAGGGGATATGACTGTGAAAAGAATGAGAAGGAACAGAAACGGAATGGGCACTGCAATTATTCTAATGCTCCTATGGGGACCTTTTTGTATTGATGGTGAAATTTACAATATAAAGCTGCACAGTCCCACTGAGTCTGGGGAACAGAGAAGGTTTACATGAAAACGGTATGAGTGATTTGGTTGAGAAAGAAAGAGGCAGTTTTTCTTGGCATGCTTCCACAGCATGGTTGAGGGTGGTGAGGCCTGGGAAATGAGGAGGTGGACACAGAGATGGTGGAAAAGGAAGAGCCTATCTCGGGAATGCTGTCCCCAGTGTTCAGGCAGAGCCTGGGACCCGACAACATCTGGAAGTGCCAGGTGGGTTAGGGAGCAGAGCTGGAGCAGGCTGGCCTGATCCCTGACCCCATGATGCAGCATCCGGAAAGAAGGACTAGCCAGCTATTGGGCCTGCATAGATCTAGGAGGCTTGCCCATCTCCATCCAAGGAGGCACCCTCAGAGGGCTGGGGCCCAGGGTTACTGCAAAGGAGGGTTCTCAGACACGGTTCCTAGGTTGGGTTTAGCAAGCTGCTCTTTGCATGTTCAAAGACTCTTTCTTGGGTAGATGTGAGTTCACTGGTTGTACAATGGAAATAAAGTGCTTTTGCCAAAGAATTCTTGCCTAAAAGGAAGATGGAGAGAACTCAACTCCCGACGAATTCACACAAGTTTATGTAGGGATGCTTCCATAACCCTGATCTGAATTGCTCCACTGATTTAGAGTTCCACATGTTCCCTGATGCCATTCCTTTTAGAGAATACCATACCTGCACCATTAACTATGGTTTGCAGTTCTGTCCATTCATTTATTCATGTATTTATTATATTTATACTCCACTTTTTTTCTTTAAAGCCATTCAAGGTGCCTTTCATAATTCTCTTCCTCTCAGTCTTATCCCCACAACAGAAACTCTGTGAGAGTTGTGGGTGTTGAGAGTTTGTGACTGATCTGAAGTCACCCATGAGCTCCATGACTGAGTGGGAACGAGAACCCAGATCATCTCAGCCCCAGTGCCGCAATCCTAACCACGTAGTATTACATATTTCCCTCCTCTGTGTTACTGGCACTTATCAGTATGTTGTGAAAACACTGTAAGGGAAAAATACGCAATACACATGATGTTGTAACAAGGTTCTCTTTTAAAAATGAACACACAGAAATATAAACTCGTTCTTCTGTGAAATCAAATGGCAACAGAATTTTTGCAGTGTTTCATCTACATGCATATCCAGATTGTTGATACAGAGTGGTAGAAGATGGCAAGGAATGGATAGAAGCTCTTGTACATCCTCTAATCCCATAATGTTGGATCATCTCCCAGTGCAAGCAGCACTGATGAGGAACAGGAACATCAGAAGTGGCCTTACACTGGGGAAGACCATTGGTTCAAGTAGCTGAGTGTTGTGTAAAGTGGTGGACAGTTTCCCAAGGTCTGAGGCAGTTTTTCCCAGTCTGGAGACTTGGAAGAAAAGCAGGTACATTTCTTGGGGAAATAAGCATTCTCAATGAATATTCAGCTTGTGTGCCACCACCCACTTCTGTCCAAACTGAGGAACTGCAGGGAGAGCAGCACGCAACGCCTTTGTGTACCAAGCATTGCCAGGATACCCAAGCCCTGTAAACACTCTCTGGTCATATTTAACCACCCCTCTGTACAACCAGCAGACTTGCTCCCCGAGTTGGGTGTGAATGAGGCCGCAGCTCTTGGCATGCATTACCAAGGCCTGCTGACTGGGATTCAGAGGAGGAAGAGGAGGGGAAAAGCAGGGAGGCCTTGGAATGTGGAGCAATTCCAGACATTGCGATGAGAGGCTCTCAGGTGAGCAGGCAGCCTCTTAGAATATCCAAGGTGTACAGGTAGCAGGAGGGGCTTGGAATGGGGTGTTTCTCAGATGCAGACAAGACGGGTCCGGCTCTTGACCCCATGATGCAACATCGGCAGCAGAGCATGGCCGAATTAGAGGATCAGCCTGCAGACAGGAGGCGTGCTTGCTTGCTTTGAGCCCCAGATGGATGGGGCTCAAACAGACTCTTAAGGAGAGTTCCTAGAAGTAAACACAGGATTGGGTTCAACAAACTGCTCTGTGTACTCTCAGAGAGTCATTCTGGGGGTTTGTGCTTCTGGAAAATGCCTTGGTCAAGAAAGAATGTTTTGCAAAAAAGGTCAGTGGCTTCGAATGTGTAAAAAGGAGGAACCTGCCTTTGGACCAGCACCTACAGACCAGTCCAATCTCCTTTCCATGTGCCCTTGCCTCCTTCCTCATCACCCCTCTTCACCCGAAAGGGGAGGAGAGACCATACACAGGAGCCAACATCTGCTAATCCATTTCAAAAAGTTAAGGCCCACCTACCCATCCCACCCACTGCAGTGCGGCAGAAATCTACTGGATGGTCAGAGCTCCAACTTGAAAGGAAGGATGCTGGATACAATATAGAAGAGTCAAGACATTCTTTAGAGCTGCTGAAATAAATGCTTTGGATGAGCTCAGTAAGGAAGGGATCAGAGCAGTGGCCCATAACCAATCCAGCTCTCTTTTGGCGGCAAGGCAGTGCCCCCCATTGGTAACAAGCTCCACAGGTGTGGAGTTTGACCTGCTGCTGTGAACCTGCCCTCCAGTTTCAATATGTCCTGAATTGTTTGCCTGAAAAGGGGTTGCCTTATGGACACATTTTCCAACACAGATTTTACTGTATTGCAGTTGGTGGGAAGAACAGCTATTTCAGCTGGATGCCTCTGATTCTACCCCGCTGCCACTGCAGAAAGTGCAGGACCTTTCTGGGTGATTTGACTGGGGTTATGAAACTCTGGCGCAAGTTAACTCTGCTCATTTCCAGAAAGGAGTGTGAATCTGTCTGGATGGGCTGTGGTGCAGTTGCCAGTCCAAATTCACTATTCCTTCCCAGTCCTCAGGGCCATCAGGGACATTAAATCCATATCTAGCAGCTCTATGCTTCTCTTGTTATCTTGCATGCCATAGTAAGTGCAGGAAGCCCAACCTGAAAGAGGACACTGGCATGAAGTGAGGGGAGCTTTGAACACCTGCAACACTCCTATACACCTATCTAAAGCAGGGTTCCCCAGCCTTTTGGGGGAACCTTGCTTTAGATGGGCTGCCTTTGTAGATGCAACCATGCATTTCCCAGAAGGCAAGCTGCTGAGACAGAAGCAAGGCACTGTAATTAGACACTGTACAAGGCTGAGTGAAGAAACAACCTCCTTTGAACCAATTCAGAGGTGGCACTGGGGGGAAGCACTTTGCTTGGCCTCCCGCTTAGGTTTCTTTCTTCTTTTTTGAAAGG